GCCTCCTGCATGAGCCCTGACCAGGTTCCAGGCGGGGGAGGAGCCTGCAACCAAGGTATGTGCCCTTGACCAGAATCGAACTTGGGACCCTTTGGTCCACAGGCCGATGCTCTATCCACTGAGCCAAACCAGCTGGGGCCGTGCTTGCTTTTAAACCAGGGTTTGTGTAGTGCCCAACTCTGGATGCCAGGCTCATAATCATGGGAGGTGTTTGTGCCACATTCACATTCCTGCACTCGGTACATTTGAAGTGAAAACTAGGAATCTCCATCCTGTGTATTGGTCAGCCTGGTCCCGAGGCCAGGAGATAGCACCCCAGAGAGCAGTGTCCAAAGCCTGTGAAAGTGAGGATCCCAGCAGGAAAGATGGTCTCCAGGAGGGCACACCAGCTCTCCTGTCTGTGACACCAGTGAAGACCCCGTGGCCGCTTGGGTTGCAGGAAGTAGCCACAGCAACCCAGCGCCTCCCATCAAAAGGCCACAGAACTGCTCCTAAGCGAGCGCTTTGCATGATTTCAGAACAGGTAAAACGATCATGCTGTGTGTCCATTTGATTTCAGCAGTCCTTATTGAGCACCTACTGTGTGCCTGAGTCCATGATGGGCACAGAGATAAGGAAGTCAGACACCCCACACAGCAGCCGGTCAGTCCCATGCACTATGAGCCGGGCGGGTGAGAGCTTTTGCCTTTTTGTGCTGTCGTCCTGAGGTTGCGTTTGGGACAGAGGCAGGAATGGGCCAGGCAGCTGGCTTTCAGACCTGAGATGTTTTAGGAATCGTTCACCAGGGGAGCTTGTTAACTATGCAGATCAACGTCTCTAGAAATTAGTTCCAATCATCTGCGTTTGGAATAGACGCCCCCCTTTATGCGGATGTAGCTGTTGGCCCTGAAGGTTTTCCCGGGTTTTCGGCGGGCAGTTCCGGGGGCTGCTCTCAGGCTGCATGTGGTTGGATCGGCACGCACCCGGGCCTCTTGGCACAGCTGATGAAAACGGGGATGGAAATGTTTCCTATTGGACTTGGCTTTTATCGGCTGTCTAGTGTTTCAGGCGTAGTGAGGTTTTATTTTATTTTTTTCAAATGTATTCTGAACTTTAAGAGGAACCTCCACTTTGGATCAAGGAGTAAAGACACCCACCGACACGCCTGCCTCCCAGCAGCGAGAGGCAGCTTTTCCTTCGGGACCTCTCTTTCCTTTGTTTCGTGGACGGGGCCTGCGAGACTGCTCATTCCTGGTTCTCCCACAGGCCCCCCGCCACTTCTCTCCTGCCATGTCTCTCCCTGGCAGGGGCTCGGTGGCATTACCGGGAAGCCAGCCTTTCTCAGCAGCTGAGCCCTTAATCCTCCCAGCTGCTCTGCTCCCTGCCTGTCCTTCAGCAGAAAACAAGATTCCTTGTGTGTGTGTGTGTGTGGGGGGGTGCGCAGTGTGTGTATTGTGTGGTATGTGTCCACATGTGTGCATGTGTTGTGTGTTAGTGTGTGCTGTATGTATGGTGTGTTGGTATGTGTGAGATCTGTGTATGTAGGGTGTCAATATGTGGTGCCTATGTATATGGTGTGTGTTAGTGTGTGTACATGTATGTGGTGAGTGTTATTCTGTGTGTGGTAGGGCAAAAGTAGGTTTAAAGTTGGTTATATGGAAAATAATACAATAATCCAATATAATAAAAGGCTAATATACAAATCACCAGAATGGCAGTATGACCCATCGCTATGATGTACACTGACCACCAGGGGGAAGATGCTCAATGCAGGAGCTGCCCCCTGGTGGTCAGTGCACTCCCATAGGGGGAGCGCTGCTCAGCCAGCCGGGCTCACTGCTGGTGAGTGCAACAGCAGTGGTGGAAACCAGAAGCCTCTCCACCTCTGTAGCAGCGCTAAGGATGTCAGACTGCTGGCTTAAACCTAAGCCATCAGTCAGACATCCCCCGCAGGCCCCTGGACTACAAAAGGCACAGGCCCTCACCACCAAGTGCACAAATTTCTTGCACTGGGCCTCTAAGCGAGCAATAAGACTGGACCATCAACCGGTAGCTATGACATGCACTGACCACCCGGGGGCAGATGCTCAATGCAGGAGCTTCCCCCTGCTTGTCAGTGTACTCCCACAGCTAACCTCCTGTGGCTAGCCAACCTCCAGTGGTCCCTCCCCCTGACCAGCCCTGATTAGCCAGAAGGGACCCCACCCATGCACAAATTCATGCACCAGGCCTCTAGTTAATAAATAATAATATAAGAATAAACTCTGTTTTATGTATTCACAACTGAAAACCTACTCTTGCCCACCCTGTATTTATGGGTATTGGTGTGTTCTATGTGTACAGGTAATGTGTCAGTGTGTGGTTTATGTGAACATGGTATGTGTGTATGCAGTGTGTGTGGTGTGTGTGTGTGGTGTGTGTGTGTGTAAACAGCTGCCTGCCTGCTAAGAGTAGCCCTTTCACGTCTGAATAACCACACAAATCCCTTGTTTCATACTTTCTCCTGCCTCATGCAGCCCAGAGATTCCCAGATGAAAGGGACTTGCAAAAGCTGCCACGCTGTTTTCTTTTTCATTCTCTCTGGAAAGGGTTTGAAGGCCAAGCAGAGCCCGGGTTCCCGTTGGAAGCAGTGCAGACTGGGACACTGCAGAGCCTGAGGACAGGGGTTTGCAGCAACCATGCCTGGCAGGGAAATCGCCTTTGGGAAGCAGTTGCCAGGTCCTGGTGTATCTGTGGGTGGGATGGGGAGCAGACGTGGAAGCTTGGGCTTGATGAAGCTGGTACCAGGGCCACTGAGGATGTGGCAGCATTGCGTTGATAAAGGCAGAATCTGGCGTCATTTTATTGGTGGTTCTTTGCAGAGTAGTTGGAGTGGGACGGGACTTAGGCAACATCTAAGGGGGTTCCATAGGAATTCACATCTTCATTCAAGTAGCTCATGAAATCTTACCTCCTCCTCTGACTTGGTGGGATGTAGGTAATGGATCTTCTGCTCCCTTGTACAGTATGTCACCTTCTTGATGGATGCTTTCACAGTGAGTGTTTCAAGAGCACCTGTGTGTGTCAACTGAAATGTTAAAGTCAGTGATGTGTGGGCAGGCTGAAGAGCCATCTCAGATGGTGGATAAAGAACCATTGAATTTATTTAAAGAAAAGGAGGTAGGGGATGGAAATATCTAAAGGGAAGTGCTACACTGAACTGAGCCAAAGGGTATTGGGTCCATGATGGCAGCAAAAACATACTTTGGACAGTGAGACAAGGCATAGAAGCAGCAGCAGGAGAGTTTGGCTCACAGACAGGTTCAGGACAAGGACATGCTGCTGCTGCCTGTTGCTCCCCTGGTTGCAAGTCATATGGGGGTCCCTTAGAGGGAAGAAGGAGGAAGGGAATGGTGCTGGCGTGCTTTCCTAGGGGAGACTAGGGGAGAGCGTGTACTGGGTCCTTTGTCCTGAGCATATCTATAGGGAGGAGAAGGCCAGGAGGTCTAAATCGCAGAACTAGAGATACGCTAGGGGAAGATAGGTTACCCCGAGGACAAGGTTCTTTCTTGTTTTCCCACTTTTGCCCCTGGCTAGGCTTTCTGCCCTGGTGAGTTTCTGTACCTGGCCCATCATCCTTGCTCTAATCATGCCTATCTAGCAGCTTCCATATAAATAAAATCGGGGGTTCCTGGTGCCAGAACTGAGGAGGCAAGCAGAGCATCCCAGTTCAGCTGGTGGGTTCTGTTTTAGCTCACTAGCCTCATGCAATGATACAAGCAAGTCCGCTGTTCTGGCTTATCTATTTCATATTCAGCAGCACCCCCAGAGCTCCTACTGTGTGCCCTGCTTTGTGGTCAGTTCTGGGGACAGAAACAAGGAGAATAGGGGCCACAGGAAGCATTCTCAGTAGACACTGGGTTGGTAGCAGCTTTTAGGATCCCTGTATCTTTCTCCCTCTCCCAGGGTTGGGCAGGAGTCCCCTTCTGCCCTGCCTCTCATCGCCTGGACCCCTAGTTGATCAGGTGGTGATGTGGGGGCAAAGATCTCCATCAAGACCACCTGGTGAGCCTTTGGGACAGATAAATTCTGTAGTCACCCAGCCTTGAAGAGTTTGGCCCAGGCCCTTGAGACCCTGCTCTTTCTAGTTTGGGTTGTAGGTGGATAGAGGGAGGATGTTTGAACTGAGATCGGTGAGCAATAAGTAGAATAAAAGGCGGAGTAAGATTTATCTCCAGAGACCAGGAGAAAAAAGAAAGCATCCAGTCTGCTGCTGGGGCTTCAGCCTCTGACTGGAGCCTGGGAGGGAAAGCTCTGTAAGGAGTAGAAGGTCAGGAGTCTAGCTCAGTGGTCAGCAAACTCATTAGTCAACACAGCCAAATATCAACAGCACAACGATTGAAATTTCTCTTGAGAGCCACATTTTTTAAACTTAAATTTCTTCTAGGCCGTGGTATTTTGTGGAAGAGCCCATCCTCAAGAAGCCAAAGACCTGTTTATGGCTCTGGAGCCACTTAGCCGACCACTGTTCTAGCCCCTTGGACTTAGCTGTGACCTCACGCAAGTCACCAAGGAAATTCTCAGTCAGTTTCCTTATCTGTAAAATGGTATAATGTCTTAAGCCAGATCCTACCTCTGAAGCAAGGGCAACAGTGTCTGGAAGGTAGTCAGTGCTCAGATCTTGCAGGAGGAGGGACCTGCAGGGAACTTTCCCAGTCCCATGGCCCTGAGGCATCCTCTGAGCCCTGCCCCCATACAGATTAGGCTGATGGGCTTGCTCTAAAGCCTCACAGCCTCCTCCTGGGCAGCTCCTGGTGCAGGCCTGCCACTGTGTTAGTGACTGACGCCTCTTCTCCCTCCGCCAGGGATGCTGCCTTGAGTGACAGACCCCACTGGAGATCGTGCATGCCATCCAGGCCAGTCCTCTCCTCCTCGCGCCTTTTCTACACAGAAACGCACACTCCTGGCTTATCCACGGCTTCCAGAACCTCTGAGGCAAGAGGCCCCCACTTCTACTTCATGCGTGGAGCATCTGGCTAGCCATGACCCTGACACTCGGCATCCTGCTGCTGCTGGGACTCTGCCAGAGTACCATTTCAGAGGATTCCTTATTCCCCGTAGGCCATTTTGATGATAGTCTGACGTTTCAATTGCCCATGCAGGAATATGAGACCAAAGACTTTTTCCCACCTGATTCCTTCAACAGTCTCTTTAGGATGGTGAACTACTTCATCCAGGTGGTGCAGCCCAACGCTTTCCCAAAGGGTAAGTGACCACTGTGGGAAAGCTGGGGTTGGTCCCCACACAGTGGGGTGCACACACTCAACGTTGTTCATTAATGACAAGACGACCGATGTAGACTATAGACACTTTCTATTTCTTTTCTTTTTGGCTGGATCAATGAGTTATTCTTAGGTACATACCAAAGGTAAACATTAGGGTGCAAATGCAAATTCTCTGTCATCAACTGAGGAGTTAATAATTTCCTCATGGCTTAAACATTTAACTCTTCTCGGCCCACCACAGAATGCAAGTTTGGCCCTAGCTGGTTTGGCTTAATGGAGAGAACATAGGCCTGTGGACTGAAGGGTCCCAGGTTTGATTCAGGTCAAGGGCAGGTATTCTTGGTTGCAGGCTCCTCCCCAAATCTGGCCTTAGTCGGGGTACATGCAAGAGGCAACCAATGGATGAGTTTCTCTCATATCTATGTTTCTCTCTGTCTTTCCCTCTCTCTTCCATTCTCTCTAAAATCCATGGAAAAATACCCTTGAGTGAGGATTAACAAAAAAACAACAAAAAAGCAATTTTGACATTGCTTCAGGCAAGGAAAGGCCTGACCAAACCTTTGTACCCAAGAAAGTGTGTTTCAATTCTAAGAGTTTGTGAGGAAAGGAGGGATGGCATCTGTTGGGATGCTCAGCGCATAGAGTGCTATTATTCTTTGTATATGTGTCTACTTGGTCTTCTTACCACTGCTTACCCTCCTCGCTATCCTCAAAGTCTTCGGGGTTTGTGTTTTTATATAAGATTATGAAAATTAAAATAGTCTGTGGAAAAAGTCTGTTACTAGGGTTTGGCAGTCTAAATTGTTATTGGCTTAATGTTAGATCTATTTGACGCCAAGCTTAGCATCAGGACGGGGCATGGGAAAAGGAAGGTGTCTCCAGGAGGGATCCTTCAACGTCCTGCTGCTGCTCCTCGGGAACAGTCCCCAGGGAGGTGCCTCCTAAGAAGAGACCCATTCCCTTTGAAGTCAGGTGGCTGTGTCTCCTGGGAGCTCTGCGGTGGCAGAGCTGGGTGAAGAAGCCAGGGCCCGGATGCAGCGCCAGTTTACTGAGTGGTCTTGGCTCCTCCCCGGGAACTGCTGTTGTCCCTGTATCTGCTGAAGGACCCACTTTGCCAAGTGTTAGCTTATTTGAATCTCCCAACAACTTTGAGAGGCAGATGATGGTAGACTTCTGTCTATCTCTTATACCCCCTTTACAGGTTGGAAAACTAAGTCAGGATGAGATTACATGTCCAAGGCATGCAACTAGCTAGTGGTAGACTTAGAAACCTGTCTCCAAAACTAGCTTTCTCTCCTATATTCCCTGGCTTACTTTGTGAGTAATCTTATTTCCCTTTTATTTGATCATAGTGCTTTGTAAACGGAGCATGGGTCACTGTGAAAAGAGAGTAATTTTTTGCACGTTAAAAGTGTGCCTTGCAGAAGATCACATGCATGGGTGATGGCCAATGACCTTTCCAGTTGGATGTGTCTGTGATGAGTTTGGCAGAATCATGGCCAGATCAGCCACTGTGGGCCCAGATCAGCCATTGTGATGAAACAAGCGGGGGAAAAAAAGTCTCATCTGCTTTTATTTTTATAGCAATTCTCTAAAATTATTCTCTGCCTTGGTTTGATATACTTTCAATTTAGATTATAGGATGGTTGGCTTGCTTCTAACAGTGTATTAGGCTAATCTGATTTGCTTCTGGTATTTTGTGGGAGTGAGAGGAGAGCTGGGTAAGTACCCTGTTTCCCCGAAAATATAATAAGACAGTGTCTTATATTCATTTTTTTTCTCCCAAAATTGCGCTAGGTCTTATTTTCAGGGGAAGTCTTATTTTTCCATGTGCTAGGTCTTATTTTCGGAGGATGTCTTATTTTTGGGGAAACACGATAGGAGAGTGGAAGAGGGGAGAGGGAAGCTTGGTTTCTATTGAATTTGAGACGCCATCAGGATGCTAGGTTATGTGGGAGCTCTCTCCGCTGCAGGTAAATCCATTAACTAAGGCAGTGTTTCCCAAACTTTTGACATATGTGCACCCCTTCTATAATTTTCGTAACGCTGAGTACCCCTTGTATTCATGAGAACATAGAATTAGACGCAGCTAAGCACAGTGCAATGCATATCCCCACCAAACTCCAGTGCAACGCGTACCCCCACCAAACTCTTCCCGTACCCCTGCGGGTACGTGTAGCATACTTTGGGAAACACTGAGCTAAGGCAATAAAAGAAAAAAAAAGAAAAAAAAAGAGTTTGTCATTAGGACTGCAGCTATGTCATTTCTGCCCTCATTAAAAAGGGGTCAGCTCCCAGGGACTGGACTTCACGCTCTCTGGACTCTCCGCCGCCCACCTGGCTCCTCTCTGCATGCAGCCACTTCTCCCTCCTCCCCTTCTCCCTCCTCTAAGGTCCCCCATTCCTGCAGGCTGAGGTGGAGAATCAGATTGCCAACATAAGTTTCAGGCCGGCTTCCTGGAGAGTGGCTGGGCATTTTTTTTCTCTTGCAGTCCCATCCCACTTCCAGTCTTTTCTGAGCCAGCCACCCATCCCGGGCCCACTGAGTGCCTGTGGCCAAGGTCCCAACTCCACATGGCATCACAGAGGGAGGTGGTTCCCAGGAAAGAATGGCTCCAGTAGGTGTGTCTATGCCAATATCCACGTAGAATCAGGATGTATTCTATCCAACACCTGTGTGTTCTTTTTTTTTAAAATATTTTATTAATTTTTTACAGAGAGGAAGGGAGAGGGATAGAGAGTTAGAAACATCGATGAGAGAGAAACATCGATCAACTGCTTTCTGCACACTTCCTACTGGGGATGTGCTCCCAACCAAGGTACATGCCCTTGACTGGAATCAAACCTGGGACCCTCGAGTCCGCAGGCTGATGCTCTATCCACTGAGCCAAACCGATTTTGGCCATCCGTGTGTTCTTAATTCAGACAAAGCCAGTACTGTCAGCTAGATCATGTGACTTCTACTGGCAACCAGTCCAGCCATATAAGTTCACTGAGGGAAAGAACCAATATCTATTGGTGTCTCTCTCCAGGTCACTCATTATGCTGGGCAGGCCATAGTTGTCATATTTTTATCCTACCGATTACAACAGCCAACAGCTGTATATGTGCTTACATTCAGGGATCTGAACACCTTAGCCCTCTATGAGCTAGGTACTATTACTATTCCCATTTTATAGGAGAAAGTTGAGGCAGAGAGTCAGCTAACCAGACCAGGGCCACTTGCTGTGCAGTGGCAGAGGCGGAGTATAGAGGCCAAGCTCACAGTTGCCACTTTTGTTTGGCTGAGATTCAGGGAGGTGACGGGACTGTTCCAGAATCACACATGCTGCTGGCTAAGCAATGAAGCCAGGTGTGACCGAGGTCCTGTGAGACCCACACAGCTGGTCCCCCAGCTCCACTCCATGTGCCTCCCTGGAGGCCTGGCTTAGGGACGGCATTTACCTGTCCCCAGGGACATTCTCTTAAATGAGGGACAGTCTCAAATGTCCCATTCCTGAGTGGGCCAGAGACCCATTGGCCAGGGACATTTTCTTTGCTTTTCCCTCACAATGACTCTGATCTGGACCACGATTTCTGCCAAACTCATCACAGACGCATCCAACTGGAAAGGGCATTGGTCATTCATCACCCGTGCCGTGATCTTCTGCAATGCACCCTTTTAACGTGCAAAAAAATTATTCCTTTTCACAGTGACCCACACTCAGTTTACAAGCATGATGATCAAATAAAAGGAAAGATGATCCCCAAGGTAAGACAGGGAGTATAGGAGAGGCAGCTAGTCCTGGAGACAGGTTTCTCAGTCTGCTACTAGCCCAGTGAGTGAGGGGTGGTGTTGCTTGGGAGGGGACAGATGTGTCTGCAGACTGTAATGGGGACTCCTCTGGTTCTCCTTATACACCTTCCACTTCAAAGCACAGCTGCTTCAGCCAAACTAAAAAACGGGTCCTATCAGCTATGTTCCCTTAGGCTTGTCTGCAAGGCCTTGCTGAAGTGTGCTCCTGGCTTTTCCTTAGTAAACAGGGCAGCAGCTGTGCCCTTCTGGGAAACGTGGGCCAGACCCGAAAAAGACACCAGGAGAAAAGCTTCCTGTTTTTGTGGTCTCCAGCTGTGTCCATTCAGGAGGACTTCAAGTACCTGCAGGAGATGAGAGATGAGTGCAAAGGCAAATAGAGCGGCTACCCAGCAGCGGCTGGGTGAAGTCCACCTGTATTAAGTGTTGCTTGTCCTCTGGGGTTGAGTGGAGAGAAGTCCTAAAATCTGCACCTGGAGGAGTAGCTGGAAAGTGTGGTGTGCACAGGGCAGCTCTGGGTCAGAACCATAAAGGATGGACAGAACCAAGAGAGGTGGCCCCATGCAGGCCTGGCATCCTCAGCTTGGCTGGGGGCTTGATTGGGAAGTGAGTCTAACATCCTGGTCCTGGGAAGAGCTGCCTGGGTTTGGATCCTGGCTCTGATGTTTGCTAGCCCTGTGACCTTGAGCAAGTTACTTAAACTCTTAATTTTCTCTCTCTAAACTGGAAATAATAATAATGATAATAATAATAATAATAATAGTAATTTTTGGTCATAATATTTAAATAAATATTTTAAAAATATATTTTATTTTTTTTTATAGAGAGGAAGGGAAAAGGATAGAGTTAGAAACATCAGTGAGAGAGAAACGTTGATCAGCTGCCTCCTGCACACCCCCTACTGGGGATGTACCTGCAACCAAGGTACATGCCCTTGACTGGAATCGAACCTGGGACCCATGAATCCACAGGCCAGTGCTCTATCCACTGAGCCAAACTGCTTAGGGCTAAATAAATATTTTTTTATAGAAAAAATTATAACAGCATCTGATATATACAAAGTGCTATATTAGTGTTTGTTAAAAAGAATATGAATGAATACATACATATTTATTTAAAAGCCTTTAAGTTAACTTCAGGTCTTGGTGATCACATGGACTTAAGAATAAGTATTTCTTTGATACCAG